AGTCAATAAATATTTGTTGACTGACAACCGAAGCCGTTCGGTATCCTTATGAAGTTTACAGCAGAAATGTTCCATTTTTAAAAAGACTCTTATGCATACTCTGCTTAGCTGTTACACTGTGAGCTATATTTTTTATGGAAATTTTTCCAAAGCATGTTGACCCTGATCTGGTTACTGGGATGGTTATTTGAAGATGATAAATACCACCTCTCTAAAGCCAGACAATAGGAACAGTTCCAGAGGCAGGGTTCCACATTCCAAATAGGGACATCTCTGCCCTGGGCAGTTTTCATGCTTACAGTTCATTGGTCCTTAGTTCCCTTCCCAATTAAGTTAGCTGTAATAATTTTTTAATATAAGTTTTAAGAAGTTAAATTTATATAACTGGCATTGCAGGCCCTGGAATCTTACTTCACTATAATGGACATCCATCATTCCAGCATCTTCTTTCATTGCTCCTTCTTCATCTATATTGGGAGTAATTTTCTTGAAGGCTGAACATCCATTAGGGAATAATTCTGTATGAATAGAAAGCAGTGAAAGGAATTTATTTTTTTAAAAAAAAGCATTTTGTAAATAACAGCTTTACAGGGACTGGTTACGCTTAAAAACAAACGCAGATATTTTTGTGCCGATCAAAAATCCTACGTGCAATTTTCAGTCTGTAAAGAATTTTACAAATGATTCCCAACTACTACACATTTTACCAGTCTTTTCCCCCAAAATGCGAGCTCAAGTTACCAACAAGTAAGTTTCCTTCTTGGACTCTGCATCATCTCCAATGGCTAGTATAGGCAATGCTTCCCTAGTGTCATCTAACACTTTGATCCTGTATGTTTCTCGTTTGTCCCCTAATCAAGGAGGGCATGTACTTTTCAGGTAACCAGAGAATAAACTTTTGTAACCATTTCTAGTTCCTAATTTCACTGTAGAACTGGAAAAGGAAGTGGGTCATTGGAGGAAGCCTAGCCTAGGACTTGTAAGAGAGGCAGAAAGAGAAAACATATGGCAGGGCTGAAGCATCCTTGGAGAAAAGGGGCAGGCACTGGGAGAATCGGAGCTTTCGGAGTTCGAGGGCTTCAGGTCTATCACTAATTGCATGATTCGAGACATGCTCATCTCTCTAGAACCGTAAAAAGTTTCATCGGCTGTAAAACAGAGAGAACAGCTACTTCGTGAGAATTAAAGGAAATGCAAAGTGTTTAGCACAGAACCTAGCGTATAGGGAGTGTTGAACGAGTTATTAATGACCAAAGCTACCAATAAATAAATGGGCTTTTCCAAGATTGGACAATTGTTGCCAGCTGGCAGAGTAAGTGAGGATACAGCTGGGCCCCTGGGAAGCAGCAAGTGAGCCCAAGCTGAGAACAGCTGCTATAGGATCGTGGACCAAATGGTTCCTGTCAAGCGAGAGTCTAGGTAGAGCAGGCAGGCCACGCGGCTGCCCTACACACTCTGGACAGGGGAACATGTCCAAACAGCTCTTGTCGTGGCTGCCTTCATTTACCCTTCTGTAAGTGGGCTGTAATTTAAGAGTTACGGGAAATCCAGGCTCCTTATAAAAGAATCTGCTAGTCAGTGAAAAGTGGCTGGTCACAAGCGAATAAAAACTGTTGCAATCTATTGTTCTACACCCTCTAGAACAGTGGTGCTTAGAAAGCATGATCTACTCACAGCTAAAGCGCTGGAAAGCTTCCCGAGGTTAGAGGTTGGGGGGAAAAAGAAGGAAGACTTAAAAGAGAGTCAGACTTCATATTTAGGAGATTTCTCAGAATTCTGGTACCAAAAAAAAAAAAAAGGTCAGGTATTGGGGCTTGGATTTTGCCAACTCCTCTTGTCTAAATGAAAGCTAACTGGACATAGGCCATCTGGTAAGAGGCTTGATGGAGCGTGAGTTATCAAGTAAGCACCATGCTTCTGTGAGAGAATCAGAGAGAGAGACAGAATTCGGGTGAGGGAAGATGGGGTCATTCTGAAGTCCTTCTTCAAGAATGGAGAAACACATTGGGGGCAGTCAGTGGATTTCTGTGAAGGAAGGAGAAGCAGAAATGAAAGTGAGATTTACTTTGACCCAATGGACTTTAGGGCCATTTTTGTTCAAAGAAATTAGGTAATAAAAGACACTGAAGATAGGGCATGACACACTCCGTTTCTGAAGATAAGCATGCCTCAAATGGTCTGTGATAGACTTCTAGGAGCAATCTATTCAAAGCGCTGGACCACAACAAGATAAGGAACTGGCACCAGAACATAAATCAATACATCTTTTCCTTCTTTGAGGAAGTCTACGGGCGAACAAATGTCCACTGAATTAAATATGCCCAGTGACATAGCTGATTTACATTTAGGATAATACTCCTTACCTTGCTGTGGACCAGTAACAAACAGGTCTCAGATCGGCCACTCTCTGGGTAGTGCATTAGGAGAATGTTTTGAAATCAAGGAGAAAATGTCCCACTTGATCACCTCTGTGAAGTCAAGAGCCAGGCAGGAGGGAAGAGGGCCCCCAAAACTTGAGCAAAGCGATAGAGTGTAGTCCTCGACAGAGAAAAACCATCAGTCCCTGAAGGCCTCTGGCCGCTAGGTCCATGACTAGGGAAGAAATTCCTGTCTGCTCTGAGATTTATTAAGTGATTCCCAAATCTAGGATTCTTCTAGAATGCTGTAATTTAGGGGAGGACAAAAAGAGGCACACTCCTATGCCTGAGATCAGATGAGGCTACAGCATCGTGGGAGAGAGTCTTCTGGTATATATTTTAAGTAGAAGGAGGGCAAATCATGTTGTTTTTTTTTTTCTCAGAAACTGACAGGTTAACACCCACTTCGAAGTTTGATGTCTGCTTCATCTGGCAGAAAGCCTACTGTTATGGATTGCTAGCCTCGGATTCCACTATTCTTGCTAAGTGTGTTATCTTGATTCCTATGCCTGATGACGTAACTTTACCTAGAGGAGACTATAACCCCTTGTTTGCCTAATTTATTAGCACCCACCAAACTATCCAATGATATGAGGACCCTTTTGGTTGTGAAGGTCTTTAAAATGCTGGAAAGATTTTCAGATGAAGCAAGTTGCTGAATCTAGAAGTGGCCAGTGTATATACCCCAACAAAGGGAGGCATGCATTTCAGGAACCTCACATAGCTCTGTGTAGCATTACAGAAGGTGGTATTCAAGAGTCTGCTATCGATCTTTCTGGTATATGACCTGGATTCCTGACCTTGCCCTTCATAGCTATAGCTTCTCGATTCCTGACTGCTGTCCCAGGGAAAGCAAGATGCAAACGGTCCAAGGACAGACCATTACCCTGAGCACAAGTGATCCCAGGGGAAAAAAAAAAAGTGGGGAGGAGTTTGGAGGATGGGGCAGCAGTCCAACCCTTGATAAAGTAAGACTGCTGGTCAGAAGAAGGATAAGAGGTTGAAAGTCCTGAGAGGAGGGCAAAAGAGGGGAAAGGCTGTGATTGGTAAGGAATTGGGAAATAAAAAGCCTGCAGAACTTAAAAGCTATCAGATCCTGGGTACAAAGAGTTGAGAAAGGGAGCAACATTACCCTATAAGGAATGAAAAGAACAGACTCTATGGGAAAGGAAATTCCTTTTTGTGGGTTGTTGGGGGAGCCCTCTAGGACGGAAGCTCTGTTGAACCTTGGACGCCAAGTGGGGGTGGAAGAATGCAGAGACTTGACTCTTGTCTTCCCCGGGGCGGGGGCAGAGAACAGTTGTGCCTGCCCTCAGGAAGAGAAGAGGGAGAGGTACATAAAGTCTAGCCTCCAAAGGAGATCTAGAATATTTGGGGCTTCTCAGATAAAACAGAAATAGGGACATTTAGGCCTGGTTTCTATTTTATATCTGTGGGGGTAAGAGTAACCAACACCCAGTAAGCATCACCACTTAGAGGTAACTTACGTAAAAGGAAGAGAATGATAATGCCTAGGATCCCTCTAGTAGGAAGAGCAAGAGCTTTGGCTGACTGAAAGAAGTGGGGGTGGGGGTGGCAGGGAGAACTGCACGTCTCCTTCCCCTTTCCCTTTCCAGTTCCGTGCCTGCAACATGAAAAAAAAGGATCTAGAAATAGGCCATTGCTGGTCTTCTGGAGTCAGCCCCCCGAAAGCGGGGGGAGGGGGCGGTGCAAGCCTTTGCTTGTTAGGCAACCACCCAATGGACAAACTAGTTTTTTTCCTTAAAAACTGTAAACAGGAGAACATCTGTCTTCAGTATGTGAGCTGGTCGGTAGTATTTCATTTCATCTTGATTAAAAGAAGTGCTTTATAATGACTTCAAGAGAAATGGCATAGGAGTTTGAGAAAGCAAAATTTTTGCAATTGAGCTGTCAAAGATTTAAAATACCTTCTACTAACTCTCCTTCCCCTTTGTCTTCGTGATCAAAGGACACTTAACAGTAGAAAGGTTGTGGAATTGCTCAACTATTCTTGTGAAGTAAGTCTGTCTTTAAGTGTTAATAAAACTTTTTTTTTTTTTTCTTTTCTGCACTCAACTGTATACTTTTATTTACCGGGCAAATATCCAGCTCTTATCTAGATCCTGAAGTTCTCAGACTGGATAACAGGTTAACGGATTAAGTTTTTTTTTTTTTTTTTTAAGATTTTATTTATTTATTTGAGAGAGAGAGAGAGAGATAGCAAGAGAGAACATGAGTGGGGAGGAGAGGGAGAAGCAG